TGCGCACAACCAACAGTGTGTAGCACACTTTTAACTGCACGCACTCCAATAATGCATAGGCGTATGAATCGTCATTGATCCGTTAGAATGAGTTGAACATTGAATGAATATTCATTCATTGTAGTTGATTATGGATATAACTTCGTAGTTGACTAAATGAGCAAGTAACTCTATGATAGATCGGTAACGATAGTTAACACCAGATTTAAAAAACATTGCGATGTTTTATATAGAGGATTTCTAGAGCCTCGTTAGAGAATAGTTGCACTTTTTATCTTGAAAGCACCCGCTTCCTGACGAACATGTGGCAGATAATATTTCCACAATGTAAATTCATACATTTGTAGATACAAATGAATAAATAGGCTTCTAAATACAAGCGTACTTCTATTACACGATCTAATTTCAATTCTTATCAGCTATCTGACATTTCCACAAAATGGAAATCACGCAAGATTTAGCTAATCAATTGCTGCGATCTTGAAAGTACAGGATAGGCATGTAGGGCGTATTTGTTAAGCACTTTTGCCGATAGGACACATTCTATCATTCATGTAAAATCCTTTGAGACAACAGTCACATTTTCACACCTGCACACGGGAAGAAAAATGATTTTCAAAGGTGGTAAAAATGCAAGAAAATATCGAGTTTCTTGATCAAAGTTTATGCAAGAGATTTTGATGGATTATATGTGAAAACAGGCGCGAACCGAGCGCAGGGGATATAGGGATACATGTGGGGGTCAGTATTTAACTGATACTGCGGAATAGCAATTTTTGGCACGTTAGCAATTCTTGGTTTGATTTGAGACGGCATAGCTGGGGGGCAACTGGGGGATCGCTCCCCACCCCCGCGCCTTATAACCCCAGGGCAAGGAGGGGGGGGGATGAGATTGTGAGTAAATAAGGGGGTTAACAATTGTTTATAAAGAACTTTGCTTTAGAGAACTTTAGATGTACAGCTAATGTTCAATTGCGCAGTAGACTGGTGGAAAACGTTCATATGGATAAACTGTAGATCTAACCGGCCGGTATTAATTAATAAACTTCGAGTTTATGGTCACGTATAGAGAGCATCCTATACTGTAAAAGCGTGCCTTAGAACACACCCCATGCATCTATAGCATTAAATGATGGACGTAGAGAAAAAGCTTTGAACGAAAACAGCTGTTCTGAGTCATCTTGATGGGCTGATTAACATATACATTGCTTGATGTCAAAGTCAGACTGCACTTGACATATACAATGTAAAACCCACGTCGTACGACACAAATATATGCGTATACATGCGACACATAATATACGAGGTTCGCATCTTTAATAATTCAAACGCCAAAAGTTTATATCCTTGAGAAAGAGACAGTTGTTTTGCGACGGTCGTTCAGCGCTAAACTCAACAGCAAGTATACGACAAAAAAACTATGGTAAGCTTATTTTCTTGTACGTTCTAAGATTATTATCTTTTGTGGTGTCTATAATGTCGTAAATTATGGTGAGTTACTCGGTGTTTATAAAGAACTTAACGCTCGTTAAGGCGGTTTTCCAACAGGCGGAATTTTTCGACCGAACGAAATTTTTAGTCTGATGTTCTTTTCAAGCAATTGTGAGAATTCGACCGTAGCGGATTTCCTTCACAGGTCACAATTGAAAAGAAAATTGAGCGAAAAATTTAGTTTGATCGAAAAATTTCGCCTTGTGGAAAGCTGCCTTTACTCCGAAACTTAAATTCAAAGTCAGTTTACTTTGTTTAAGTAAAATAGAATATATTTTTGATAAATTATCGAAGCTAATGCATGATCATGTGTGATGTCCGAAGAAGTATGTTCGAGTATCGGGCGATTGCCGAGTTTGTATGCAACAATTCAACAAAATATATTTTCTATATATAATAGCCTAGAACGCAATAGTAGATTCCCTCCAAATAAAGTTGGAACAAGAAATCGAAAACTCAGTCCTCCATAAGCGCGGTTCTTTTTCGAAACTAGCCAAAAAGAGTATTCTGCTGAACTTGACAAGTTTCGTATTTAGCTACAACGCATTTAAAATTACGCCATGGTTTGCCCTAGAGCCGGATATTTTTTGCGCAAAGCGACAACTTTCTTCTTAGCTTCAAGGCAAGCTATACCTATCAACAGCACAGATCGGGAACAAATTACCCAAGGGAAAAAGAATAAATTCGCGTTGTGGGAAATATATATATAGTTAATGAAAAATGGGCTTGTATAATCAACGACGAATGTTAGCAGTACAAAAAACAGCTGCGCCTAGTCGTAGTTGAATATTAATGCTTTAACTTTAAGTTAAGTTTACTGTCCATGCGGATATGCTTTGATAAGCAAAATATGAGTTTTTTGCCACAAAATTCTGCTCTCTGAAGGTAACTATTGCCATGGCAAACCAAGGCACAAAATAACCAGGTAAAATGCCTCCCGTGTCGTAGATAAACCAAGTGGTTTGCTCACAAATATTTTGACAGTTCCACTTAAACATTGCCGGCGCTATTTTTGTTGTTCATACAACTGTAAATGCAAATGAAGAAAGGCGGTTCATCATCTGGTTATGTTACTTCACAAACTTGATTGGGCCTGTTTAACAAGTTTCCTTAAAACAGGTTCCAGAATTCGGAAGCGCTGCGCCTGGAGCCTGGGCAAGGGCGTAGAAACCGTGAAAAGCCTGGGACGGTTACTGTATCATATTCATAATATATAATGTTAATAATAAATATTTGGTAAACGGTTTAAAAGTAACTTCTCTTGATCATGTTTACGAAATATGAGGAGTTGCCAAAAGAAGACTTGATTCTCCTGTCTAGCCAACGAAAAATATTTTCGAATATTCCATATCTTGCCTTTAATGTCTTTTTTTCACCGTTGTTTGCCGATGATATATTCTCAGAACGACAAAGTTTTTTGCATTTCTTTTCCCATGTAATAGCAATGTTTTATGCTTAAAATTTTTGCTTCATTCCTTATTCCGATATCTCGTATCTTCTGACGCCATGCAATAGAGTCCCAAAAGGACTCATGCACTTGAATAATTTGTTTGCCAAGCCGGCTATATTTAAAAATTCTCAGACTCCAGTAAAAATCGACCTATATCTTTTTAGTTGTTTGAAAACATGTTTTTGACACTACTGGTCCCAGTTCTTCTCAGTTTAACAACGTTATCACTCGGAAATGAATGTAAGTAAAACGCAATACTGCATTTACACATATAATGTCAAAGGCTACAGCACTAATATCCGTGCTATACGGAGTGATCCAAAGAAGCCCCTTTCAATCCTTCATTATATTATTTAGTATTTGATTTGGTCCACAAAATGAACCTCGCATAATTCAGTCACTTAAAACTAATATACAGAAAAAACCTATTCAAAATAGGAAAATTAATAAAGGTAGAAAAGTTCTTAAAAACCTCACAGCTGATTGGGTTTTATAGACAAAATTTTAGGAATAATTTTCTTGTATGATTGCATGGCGACTTTAGTAATTATAATAACTTGTAGGTACACCACGTAAGTATTAAATACTGCAAAGCTTTCGGTCCGTTAACCCGGACCTTCATCAGTGCAATTACTTGAATACACGTTTGCGCGTCACTTAAATATCATGTTAGTCGTGATTAGTTTGCTCGCGCTATTAATTAAACGGTTTCATTTAATTAAGTTCTAATTAATGCGCGCGCCCTAGACAAGTATTTGACTAAGAGACACCGAAAAGAGCACGCCACGTACTATTAAGTGGCTTTCCCTCTTGGACGATAATTTGATGTTTATAAATTTCAATAGATTCTCTCATTTTACGAGAGACAGTAAACTTATCGTTTGCTAAAATGGTAGCATCGTTCCATTTAATGCGATGATCATAAGTCCATGCATGGTGAGCTACTGCAGACTTATCCAGTTTACCTTTCTCGCAGTTCGTCTTATGTTCTTTAAGACGTATTGAAAAAACGTATTTGACGTAAGACGTATTTGACGTATTCATATAAAATCGTTAGGATTTTAAAAGAAGTTGGAATACAAGTTTACCATTCTAGCAATAACAAATTGTTTCGCGCTCTTTACACACACAAGGATGGCGTCGATGAACAACAGAAACCTGGTGTGTACCGCATTCCATGTGAATGTGGTTTGGTTTACATTGGAGAGACCGGTAGAAATCTCTCAATACGTCTTAAAGAACATAAGACGAACTGCGAGAAAGGTAAACTGGATAAGTCTGCAGTAGCTCACCATGCATGGACTTATGATCATCGCATTAAATGGAACGATGCTACCATTTTAGCAAACGATAAGTTTACTGTCTCTCGTAAAATGAGAGAATCTATTGAAATTTATAAACATCAAACTATCGTCCAAGAGGGAAAGCCACTTAATAGTACGTGGCGTGCTCTTTTCGGTGTCTCTTAGTCAAATACTTGTCTAGGGCGCGCGCATTAATTAGAACTTAATTAAATGAAACCGTTTAATTAATAGCGCGAGCAAACTAATCACGACTAACATGATATTTAAGTGACGCGCAAACGTGTATTCAAGTAATTGCACTGATGAAGGTCCGGGTTAACGGACCGAAAGCTTTGCAGTATTTAATACTTACGTGGTGTACCTACAAGTTATTATAAAATTTTAGGAGTAAAAATCCTTGAAAAATTTTTTAATTTTGCTGTAAGTGCGAATGTGCAATTTTGGACAAGTATGGATTTGGACTGTCCTGAGCATATCTTGCACCAGCTGAACAGCCGAACTATAGCCTCTATACTGAAATATAACTTTCACATAAATCTTTAGTACCGGTTAAAACATGGATATCAGTCACTCGTATATAAATCACTAGATTTTTCCACGCAACAGGAGTAATTTGTTTTGGTAGAGCATTCCATTTTACAAGGATATATAAGGAATCTATCTGCTCAAAGATAGACAACTTTATATTGTTTTTCTAACATCCTGAGACAATTTTACCATTTCAGCCAGCCAGAATTGCACCCGTATCATAAACGTCACTAATCACAACTGGAACAAAGTAAAAATTAAAAAAACAGAAAAAGAAAAAGTGATCACATGTTTTAAGGCAGAAAACGGTAATGTTCACCTCTCATTGAATACCTACTACCAGTGCAAAGGATACGACGACTTCCATTTTCTCTGCCTGGGGAAGCGATGCAAATATCCGCATCCCGAGATAACAGTTTACGAAGGTTGCGAAGGAAGAGGCACTAGTGATAAGGTTGAATATGAATGTGATTATCTGTGGCCAGTGCGGTGGGTGTCAAAATCCGATTGTCTTAAAGTCGTTAGCGAGTCTTCAGATGGCCCAATTGACCTTGAATATAAACTATTTAATGAGGATGACGGTAAGAAATTAGATGAATATAACTAAAGGCCCTGTTACACGCTGCAATTTTTCTTGCAACTTGCAACGCAATTCTACTTAGAGATGTAAATTAATGACTAGTCTTCAAATGTGAGTGTAAGAAACGCCATGGAGTGTAATAATCACAAAAGTTTGGTAGTTGCCAAATTTACATCTCTCAAAAGTAGAATTGGATTGCAAGTTGCAGGAAAAATTGCAACGTATAACAGCGCCTTAAGGGAGCTTTCCTTGTGACTGTGTTTCCACGTGACTCCAAATGTTTTGGAGTATTCAGGTCACGTGGGCAGCCTTTTCCAGGACATTCCCTCCCCCCTATCATTTTTTTTGCAATGCACTGAAAAACATCAAAGCATCTTCCGTCCTAGTTTTAGTCACAGCATCAGAGCTATTCGTTTTGCAGATTACGATCCTTGCTGGGGAACTTGGGAAAAACATCGACCATCCAAACGTTGCCGAGAATGGTACCGGTGGTGGCCAGGGGGTATGTTATCTTCACTGTACTCTGTTATAACCCCTTCCAGCATTTGGAGGGCAACTCTGGGAGATTATAGCCCCGTTTACACTATTGGTACCTGTACCCAATTTTATTAGTGCTCAGGCTATCAAAGCAAAGGCCGAGCACAGATGAAATGGGAGCGGGTACCTATTTTAGCCGTGCCAATAAATCGAGTGTAGTGTAAAGCCGGTTTTCCACTAGCGATATTTTTCGCGCGAATCGACATTTTTCTTTTGTTCCAGAGCTCTCAACTGCAACCATCTGGAACAAATTGCTCAAATACAAAGGAATAAAGTCCCTTTGCACGAAAATTATCGCTAGTGGAAAACCGGCTTAAGCCGGGCTTATGACGCCAGCCAGTGCGAAAACAAGTTTCCTGAACGTGGAAAGGCTTAAACCCATTTTTTGTTAGTTGAAGGCTAGTTGAAGTTTTTCAACTATTCGAATTCTTCGGATATTTTAACTACAAAGCTGGTGCCTCGCCTGCTTTTACAGTAAGATGATGCGGATTATTTAGATCTATCTAGAAAGAGTAAATTTGTTGTTCAAGTCGGTAATTTAAAAAATGTACTTTTCTAGCCAATTTATGCCCAAAATCCGATTTTCACGGAATTTCTCACTCCTTGATGCTCTCCTCAGTTCTATTGTAGGCGTGTTTTTCAGCGCGGCTACCACCATAATCAGCAATCTATATTCCAATTATTCCAATTGGCTTCACCCAATAACTGGACTTTATTAAGCAGTTATCACTCCAGTATTATTTGACTTCACTTGAGTAGCATCGCTATGCAGGATATATTTTGAATTTTAAATTGTGCGGCAGTAGTTGATTTTGATTAATGCTGGGTCCGTCACTGATTTAAGCGAAAAATGGCTATTTTTATAATACAAACTATATTATACAGGGTACAGGCGACGAACACCTCCCCTGCGACGAACACCTTCCGTGCGACGAAAACCTCCCCTGCGACGAACACCTTCCGGGCGACGAACACCTCCTAAGGCAACCCCAAAACTAGGTAAAATAAATCTATTGTTTGCAAACATTAATCACAGTTGATTATCCTGAATTTGTGGTAAACTTTAACCAAGGAATTGTGTTTAAAACATGCCGATTGAATCAATATTAGAATTATATCAAATGGAGCTTAAATCTCCTTAGACAAGATACCCCCAACCATCCCTGTAGTACCTCATGTCCGCTCTCAGTCCCAGTCAGTCAGTTTGACAGTGCTCGGTTAGAAATACTAACACCATAGAATGCCCTGTTCCCCAAAGTATAGAATTGCCGTTTCGGCAAAAATACAATAAATGTAAAAGATAATGCAATTTTGATTTGAAATCGTTTTAGAGCATTGCCAGAAGAGTTGCTTGTAAAATATAAAATAACACCATGTGTAGTAATATGGCATTACAATTTCAGATGTGGACAAGACTTTCGAAGAAGAGTCTGGTGGTTTCAAGTCTCCCAATTATCCTGGAAAGTACAGGAAGAATCTGAAATGCATTTACGATATCAAACTTGATGCAAACAAGAGAATTGAACTGATTTTCAGGTTCTTCGTAAAAACGAATCATGTTCTTGAACAGCTTGATAACTGCTAGAACTCTGCAAAACAGTGTAATATAGTGATACACTAATTATTATAAGTTATCCGGTAAGGGGTCGAAGTTTCACGAAAAAACGACCTCGTGATCGGTTCCCGGACAATTTCGAATTCCGGATATTTCCCAAGGCATAAATTTATCTGTTTAGAGCGATCACTAGTTCCCCAACTGGCCTTATTCAATAAAAAAGCCAAGCTATCAGCCGAGCCCTAGAGAATATATTTTGAGAATAGAACTCAAAAAATAGTAAAAATGAAAGCGAACAATGATATTGCTCTTTTTCGTTTTAGGGATCTGGATCTTGGACAATCCAAAAACGGAAGTGAATGCACTGAAGATTATATCGCCATTTATGATGGGATTAATAAGTGGTCAGGAGAGCTTCATAAGTTTTGTGGCAATGATACCAGATTTTTCAACAAACCGATTTTGTCAAAAAATAACGAACTAAGAGTAGAATTTAAGAGTGGCAGTAAGGATGGTAATAACAAAGGATTCAATGCATCTTACAGCGTTTATCAACAACCTGCAGGTACGATTTTTTTTCAATTTATCCGCAACGTATTATGCAGTGGCTTTAAAAATGGCAGGTGTTTTCGCTAGAAGTGAACGATTGTTTGAGATACGGCGAATTTCGACACTAGTTATGAAACAATGTACATTATAATATAACATTTATAGTACGCGCTGCTGATTGGTCAAGAACAAGCGAAGTAATGTAATGAGAATTTGTAATTGAATCGAATTATAATATTTGTACAAAACCTTTTTATTGAGTTATATTATAACTGAAGAAATAGAAATATTCTATACTAGTTATAGAAACACTTGTGGGAGTTGGGAGAACTCGAAATAGCGTGGAAAAACTCGCTCTACGGGCTCGTTTTCCTACTGATTATTTCTCGTTCTCCCAAACTCCCACGCGTGTTTCTATAACTGTGTAGAAACAAGGAAAATGTTTTCTATTTCTTAATTATTGATTGATTGCAACGTGATATCAGAATAAATGATTTCATTGCCTTTTTTAGCGAAAAAGGAAATAAAGATTACTGGAGTGATAATTGGAACAGTATGTGGATTGTTACTTTTTGGACTGACCCTACTGGCAATTTGGCGATCCAAAAACTCGACGGAACTTCAAGTGCTTTCTGATATACTCAATGGCAATCCCGATGCTATCCAGAAGAAGGCTCCACCCTCATATGACGATGGTAGGTATATGGAATTTTAAAAAGTGTAAAAGTTCGAAATGTAAGCAAACCTTTTGTTCATATACAAACTTGACTTCCACTGAAATACAGAGATTTCACTTTTCACCGCAGTTTTGAAGAGCACTTTTTATAATTTAGTGATGGCTTCGCCTGAGACGTACCCAGTTTCTCCAGATTCAAAGGACGTTCGCTGGGTCGAAGAGCCAGAAAACGGAGAGCCGCCGCCTTATCCGGGACTTGCCATTCGCACAGAGCCTGGGGACGAATTACAAGAACCGGATTCCAAAATGTCAGATGACGACGACGTTGGGTTACCACGCGATATCGAGGCACAGGAAGAGGTAAAAAGCCATGAGCCTGACGTTGGAAAGAGCGATGTTAAAGAAGAAAGTAAGGCAAAGGAAAGTGACTTTGGCGAAAAAGGCAACGAAAAAATTTACGCGGGTGAGATCAAAGAGATTTTTTTCGGAGAAAATCCATTTGATGTCGAAGATCGAGTTGACGGGAAAAGTGATGTCGGAGAAGAAGTCGTCGAAAAGAGTGATGTCGGAGAACGTGTCGTCAGAAATAGTAATGTTGAAGAGCATATCGTCGGGGAGAGTGATGTTGGTAAACATGTCGCCGGGGAGAGTGATGTCAGTGAATGTGTCGTCGGTAAGATTGATATCGGAGAACATGTCGTCGAGAAGAGTGATGTCGGAGAGTATGTCGTCGGAAAGAGTGATGTCGGAGAGTATGTCGTCGGGGAGAGTGATGTCGGTGAACGTATCATCGGGGAGAGTGATGTCAGTGAACATGTGGTCGGTGAGGGTCGTGTCGGCGGACCTGTCGTCACAGAAAGCAACACCCAAAGAGTCGTGGAAAAGGGATCCAGCTTCGGAATAACACGCGATGTCAAAATTGATGTCCCCCTTGAAGATTTCAAGGGGATTGAAGGTAACAATGAAAAGGTGCAACAGAGGGTCGGAGTTCAAGAAAATACAAGAGCAAACACTATTTATTTCTAGACATCGTACTGTAATTTAAAACTTAAGTTAAGACACAATAATCTTATAACAGTATAGAGAGGGGATATTATAACGCATTTTAAGGTATTATAAGTAGGTGGCTATTGTAAGCATGCAAGTAGTCTTTGAAAATTGTAAAGAATTAAAAACACACAAAATCGTCTTTAGGATAATTTTGGGATGCACATATATGACAAACATATAAAACATGAGAGAATACTTTCACAGGACACAAGATGCTTCAAGCATTGGATAATGTATACATATAAATAGTCAGTCTTATATACATACATGCATATTCATTGTACCGTTTTAGATATAAAATAAACTAATAGAATTACAAGATGCAGGTGTATTGTATATGATATAGGTTTCCCTTAGCTTCCCTGTATGACAGTTTTGATGTTGAACATGCAAACGGATGAAACTACACCGAGTCGTCCTCTAAAAAGACGTCATTTTCACCACTGAAGACATATGCCGTTCTCTCGAATATATAGGAATTCATAGAATATGCGTTAAATGGTGATTTGATGATATCGATTTTGATCACTTTGGAAAATAGCATAAGACACAAAACAATGAAAAAAAGTTTTTCGGTGTACCCTTTATTGTTTAAATATCTATACACCTTATAACATAGTTTAAGTAATACGATTAAAATAACACAAATTATAGAATTTACTTATATATAATTAAACCATGCATGGTCAGTAGGTTATAAATGCTGAATACATAAGCCGAACACCATCACGCCATATTGTTTGCTTGATCTGTTGTATTTCGGATTTTCGATGACATAAACACGACAGTTTGGCTAATCTACTGAGCTATAATCTACGAACCCTATGACAAAATAAAACAATAACATCAACCTGACAGGTAGCTTCGCGTTTCTTAAAGAGGCCTGGCTCTAAAATCAGCGAAAATACTGGGCTACTAAATTATGAATATCGACATGCAATACTATTTACAAATGCGGTCTGTAAGTGATATTGGAACAGCAATCTGAATAATCTATTTTACATCTTCAAGTTTTATCATTGTTATATTAAATTAACCCACATGGAAAAAATGGAAGCGTCGTTGCTTAGTTGTTTATGTGTAAACTATTTTCTTAGACTTTCTTTAAGGTGAAAAAACGAAGGGAAACATTGCTTAAAAGAAATACTTGTAATCAAAAAGCTTGCACATACGATGCAAACAAAGCTGTTTTTGCAACGGTTTTCCAAGTTTTCATATAGGTATACTGGAAAGAAGTTTGAAAGGTCTTGTCAGGTATTGATACGTTTTGATACGTATTAAATATTGGGTTATACACATGTGGAGATCCGCGGAACTTTAAAATTACAGTTAATTACTCAATAAACTATTTACAAAAAGAAAACCCGTTTCTTCCAAACAAGGAAGTCGTTAAAGTCACTATAACCACTATGTATATCTAAGTAGTAAGTACGTGAAATTAAATATACTAGTTATTAAGTTATTACTATCAGTAAATATTAATATATTGAACAGAATAATGTAGGTTACAATATAAATATCAACGGTAAATAGCTGCTATAATCTATGCAGTTAATATTGTATATATAGATAGATATGAACACCCACTATGCAATCTTTAAGATAATTACATTACATCTAGTTGCATTAAATATACTTATAGTTATATTATACCATTCATATACACGTGGTCTGACAACAATAGCATCTATGCGGATTCATTTTATGCTATTGTCTTGAAAACCTAGGCCCACACTTCAATGCAAGATATTATCTTTACACTAAAACGAGGCTTGGTGCTGAAGACCGTTTCGGTAAGTTTTAGGGTATTTTGTGTGAAAAAGACGGTGTGTTTTTCCACTTTGTGGGTTATGCTTTTTAGTGGACTTTTAGTTTGAAATTTCGCGAGCTTCTTCAGATCCCATGCCGGGCATAGGTACTTCTTTAAATCAATGGCAATTGAAATAAATATACTCATTTATAGAAAAAATGATAAAGCTGGTATTCGGTTCGTAACGTAAACAAACGCTTTGTTTACACATCTTCAATAGACCTTTCATGACGTGAAATGCGGAAATTGATGTTACACGAAGTTTGATTGGCTCTTTAGTTTTGAAGAGCCAATCAAACTTCGTGGGTTATTTGCATCACGCGTTAGTCTAAATATCGAAATATTAATATAAATAAAAATATAAATATTAATACTAACACGTTTTGTTTTCAATTACTTTAAATGAATATGAACATGCAAATTCTGATGGCAGAATTAAAAAAATTCAAGACTTGATTTTTCCCGCCAAAAGCGAGCGATCTTAACCAGCAGGTTACACAGACCGCCCTGGAACCAATTGAAATACTTCATTCTACGTGACTTTGTACACGGAGAGGCTTGCTGGTATGCCAGATAATAAGAGATTTCGATCATCTGTTGGAAAAATTTTATTCACCAATTTTCTTTATCAATTGTAGCACATGGATGATGAATTGAGCATGAAGTATGAGTAAATAGTCCTTTTCTCTCTTTCGTAATGGTATGAATAAATTACCCATTTAAAGGTAACCCATTTGCAGGCGCTTCCTCGTGGCTCGTCAGCGGGATTCGCGAGAGATTTGGTCTTATCGTGCCACTAGGATCTTCGTCGTCGTCAATTGCCGCCGCACCACGAGTCTTGTACGGATAATAGCCGAACTATCGCGCGAGCGCGACGCCAGGAATGCAGACCAACGGTGCAAAGATCATAAGCACAATAACAAAATATGCAAATCCCGAGAACTGTGCGGGAACTTTCTCTCCCTGAAGAAAGAATACTTTGGATACACAACGTAGACTATGATAAAAACACATTTGGCGGTCTTTTCCATCGTAGATAGTGGTTGAAAATTCACTGCATTTGTAAAATTTAAGCTCGACCCCCTTCGTGTTGTTGCTAAGATAAAATGAATGTGCCCTTCATATCTCACCACCACAGATCACACCATACCATCACAACATCACCACTATACGATATTACATACTATCATTATTTTGTTACAAACTACATATATCACACGATACTGTATAGTAACGGATTTGCGTGTTCGTTTATGAGCAGGAGAAATATTTGTTATACAGGAAATAAACCATCTCGTGATTGACCATTCTAACTGAATGGAAACTGTTTTGCAGACTGCCTTTCAAATATTCACCAAAGACATCCCAAACTACAAAATAGATCAGCACGCATCATAACATGTTCTACATATGATGTATATCATCCAATGTCTTTCCTGATATATAAGCTGAAGTGAAATAATTTATCACTCAATCGTCAAAAACAGAATGTGTAACCATACTCATGTTCAGTATTTACATGAGATGCATGTTTGACTCTAGAAGGGGGGAGATTCCTCCTAGGAATTCTTATCGCAAGTTGTTTATTCCTAAACCTAACATTGACTATCGATCTGAAGCGCTCCTTCTCTTATAGTGAAGCATTTCTCTGGAACCGTTTCTCAGAATCCTTAAGATTATCAACATCTCTAACCTCTTTTAAAGGTAATCTGAAATCATTACATTCTAATTTAACTGACCCCCACACGGCAACCAGGTAGAAAATTACTCTAACGTCATTTTTGATATAAATTAGGCTTATATATTTCAAAATTTTCAATGTTCTGATGGTTTTCTTTCCGTGTTTAAATAAAGTATATGTATGTGTACGTATCTTGATGGGCTGATTAACATATTGCATATACATTGATTGATGTCAGAGTCAGACTGCACTTGAAATATATAATGTAAAACGCACGCCGCACGACACAAATATATGCGTATACATGCGACACATAATATACGGAATTCACAGCTCTCATTATTCAAAGCCAAAAGCTTATATTCTTTAGAAAGAGACAGTTGTTTTGTCACGGCCGTTCAGCACTAAACTCAATAATTACGGCAAAGAGCTGGGTGGGCATAAATAGCAAAAAAAACTATGGTAAGCTTATTTTCTTGTACGTTCTAAGATTATTATCTTTTGTGGTTTCTAATGTCGTAAATGATGGTGAATTACTCGGTGTTTATAAAGAACTTAACGCTCGTTGGGGCGGTTTTCCACTTGGCGGAATTTTTCGACCAAATTTTTAGTATGATAATCTTTTCAACTGCGAGAATTGAACCCTAGCGGTTCCCTTCACCTGTCAGAATTGAAAAGAGAAAATTTCTTGGAAAACTGGCCTTTTCTCCGGAGCGTAAATGCAAAGTTTTAGTTTGTTTAAAGTAAGATATATTTTTTGTATATTTTCAAAGCTAATGCATTATCATGTGTGATGTCCGAAGAAGTAATTTCGAATATCGGGCGATCGCTGAGTTTGTATGCAACAATTCAACAAAATATATTTTCTAATAGCCTAGAACATAATAGTAGATTCCTTCCAAAAATAGTTGAAACAAGAAACTGAAAACTTCTCCCTAAGCGCGGTTCTTTTCCGAAACTAGCCACGAAAAGTATTCTCCTGAACTTTACAAATTTCGTATTTAGCTACAACGCATTTAAAATTACGCCATGGTTTGCCCTAGAGCCGGATATTTTTTGCGCAAAGCGACAATTCTCTTCTTAGCTTCAAGGCTACATATCAACAGCACAGATCGGAAACAAATTACCCTAGGGAAAAGGAATAAATTCGCGTTGTGGGAAATATATAGGTAATGAAAAATGGGCTTGTATAATCAACGACGAATGTTAGCAGTACGAAAAACAGCTGCGCCTAGTCGAAGTTGAATATTGATGCTTTCTTTAGGTTTAACTTAAATTTCCGTTTTATGCGGATCTGCTTTGATGAACAAAACATGAGAATTTTTGCCACAATATTCTGTTCTCTGAAGGTAACTATTGCCATGGCAAACTAATTAAGGCACAAAATAACCAGGCAAAATGCCTCCCGTGTCGTAGATAAACCAAGTGGTTTGCTCGCAAATATTTTGACAGTTCCACTTCAACATGGCCGGCGCTATTTTTTTTGATCATATAACTGTAAATGCAAATGAAGAAGGGCAGTTCATCATCTGGTTGTGTTACCTCACAGACTTGACTTGGCTGGTTTAACAAGTTTCCTTAAACTGAACAGGTTCCAGAATTCGCAAGCGCTGCGCCTGGAGCCTGGGCAGGGGCGAAGAAACCGTGAAAAGTCTGGGACGGTTAATTTATAATATTTATCGCGTATGATAAATATTTGGTAAACGGTTCAAAGTAACTTCTCATGTTTTCGAATTATGAGGAGTGATCAAAAAAAAACCTGATAGATGAATTTCTCCCGTCCAGCCGA